ATGCACGATGAATTTCACATCGAGTCTCACTTGATCTGCACTTTGATCTTCCAATATGCATATATTATAACTGGAATCTCACCCTTGTAACACTAGAGAAGAATAATGGATGACAATAGAGATTTGCCTCACTGTTTAATGTCTGCTGCTGTCACGTTCCAACAGAATGCCCTGGGTAGCACAACTGGTCTCTGTAACACAGTTACTAATACAAATGGTGCATCTCTGGCATAATATTCTAGGTGAATAAGGTGAAAAATAATGGTATCTGAAGCATTTAACTGCAAGCTACAGTTTGGGTTTTTTCAGTGGAATAGGTGATGGAAAACACTGTACTTCCAGCCCATTGCATTCTGACGTTTCAGAACATCACTGGTTGCAAGTCTTGTGAAAGATAACAGTGATGGAGAGAAGGTGCATTTGGTGAAAGAAGTCCTGACTATCGTGTATCCTGTGATAACATGTTGACTTCCTTCTTGGTTTGGAGCTGCAGTGCTGTGGAGTGGTAAGTGTGTGCTCAGAATACTGAAAGATGGAGGAGTGTTCTTCCAAGGCTGCAGCCTATGGACTTCAACTTAATTGGAAAACTGCTCAACATGTAATTCCTAAAGCATTTAAACACCACTTTTTTTTTTCAGTGAATTTTCTGATGGAAGGGGCAAGGGAACAGGGAGCTCAGTTCTAACAGAATAAGCAACCTTTTAAATTATGGAAAATGTAGATCTTGTGAAAATTCAGCTTAACTGAATGGCAAGCTTAAGGCTGGCTAGTTGCTCTTTTTAAAAGTAGAATATTAATTATAACTGCCTGAAACTCTGGGAAACCATGTGTAATGCTCCTAGTTTGCCGTTTACAGCCAATAATGTACCAGCTTTCTTACTGAAGTCTGAAAGGAAGGTTAAGGTTCTTGATAAACTAATATATAGGCTGAAGTGTTCATGAAATTTAAAGCAACTAAATTCAGCAAATTTGATAATTTTAAAGTGCCTTTGAGATAGTTTCCTTCCAGCCAACTCTAAATAGCTTTCTGCCAGAGTTAAAGGGGAAGAGCTTACAACTTGAACCAGAACCCAAGATGGTTTTCTTGTACTTCAGCTAAAGAGGTTGACCCCACCAAATGGCTGGTGGGGCTCAATCCTTTACGCACTCTGCCTAGTTTTGGTCTGAACTCTCAGACCTCTCAGATTTTTTGGGGGAGTTTTGCTGGCAATGCTCCACTGCAGGGTACAAATGTGAATGGAGGCACTTGGTAATGTTGTAGCGGTCAACACATTTCTAACTCTGTAAACAACTGCTCTTCCTTTTTGTAGCATACTACAGTTGTGACCAAAAACCCTCCCCCTCTTACCCCTGCTGTCTGTAAGTGGTATCTATTAACTTGAGACTCAAGTCTGCCAAGCATTGAACAAAAGAGTAAATGGAAAAACAAACTTCTGTCCCTGGGAAGTGATGCTGTCAAACCAGGCTTCAGGCACTTCAGCAGGGCTGCATGGGAAGTCTGTGGTGGTTCATACTGTAGCTTTTTGTTCTGAGACTGGATTCCTTTTGATGCAGTCATCCAGCGCCCTTAAACAAGCACAAAATGCGGTCTGGCGTAAGTTTTAATTTGTGTATCTGAAAAAAGGTGTAGTCACTGTTTCACACCACTAAGTGGAGTGAGAATGTTAGTGTTGGAGGTACCAACAGAGCATAGCAAGTTGCTGGCTAAAAGCTGACAGATGCCTTAATGACTTCCTGTGCTGGAGATCAATGGCTTGTACAACCTCTCACATAGTGCTTATAAATTAACATGTAACAATATGGGAGGCCAAGGCTGGATTTTTATTTTTTTTTTTGTAGATCAAATGTTAATAGGCAAGTCCTCTTTTTCCTGTAACCATCAGAGTTGGGTACTGCAGCAAACTCATCTCTAGAAAAATCAAAGCTTGTATGAGTGACAAAAATAACGCTGAACCTTCTAATACCCTGTGTGAAATAGAAAAGGAAGTCTTAGAACAATGGCATTTTATCTGCAATGTTTGTCTGGAGTCATTGTAAAAATGTATTTTTCCAATATGCATTACTTTGTTGTGTAATGATTCTACTTGTAATAAAATGCATAACTGGATAATGCATTGTGAGGTGGAAACCTTGTTGAGAAAATACCTTTTCCTGTAGAGACAGCTGCCCCTCTGCAAGCTAGCCTTTAGAAATCACAAGGAAAACTAGGGATATAACATTCAATACGGCATGACAACTTTATTCTTTCTTCTGAATTATTCCAGGTATTCATTTTAATGTTGTGGAACTGCTACAACTTACTTTGGCTGACAAGGTCTGGTGTTCTAGTTCATACCATATAGTCATCTTGAATGCCTTAGACTTATCTATAATCCTTTGTATGAAACAATCCTAACTTCCTACAGGCCACAGTAAATCAGTTCTCAGCTCAGATCCATGTAAATCGACAAGCTGAGCTGCGTTGACTCAAAGTAACCTACTACTCGTTCATTCTACCAGTTGTATACTGGTGGGCAGGTTAGCCTCCTGGAAGAGCGCAGAACTGCTGCAGCTTTATTTCAGGGAAAGGAAGGCTTCAGTGCAGTAGCAAAACCAACCAAAACATCTTGGTGAGAGTGTGATGCATTAGTCTCTTAGTAATAAAACTTAACTAAATTAGAGATGAATGGTGAGCTGGTTTAGAGCATTGTTTATGTTGACTTGATGCCTGTATAACTATCACTGTTTTCTTCCCACCCTTTTCTTCCATGGGAGAATCTAGCTGAGCTTTTGAATTGGAGTAGAAACAACATAATCCTGGAGCACTTCAGGTCAGTGAGGGAGTCTCCTTGTTTGCTTTAACAGATGATTTATTCCTAGTGCAAGCCAAACTCTTTTCCCTAGTATTTCCAAACACTAAACTGAGGAATAAGCTTTGAATTAGTTTTCAACCAACTTTAACGTAAAGCAACACCATCCCATCTTGCCTTCCTGCAGCAGGTTATTTGATTTTTGTGTACCTCTAAGACCAAACCCATCCTCTCAGGATTTCAGCACTATTTGCATAATGCTCAAGCATTATGTCAAGATGTAACTTGTGTGATGCTGACTTGCCATTACAAACTACTTTTTACAGTATTTAATAATCTGGAATTTGCTGCAACTTTTAAAAAATAGCTTTTTAAAGCCATAAAGACACTTGCCAATCATTTTTGGGGATGGTTTGACCTCTAAATGCAAGTTCTTGTTAAAGTAGTGTCCAAAAGCAAATGACATGCCCAGTAAGCTGTGGAGACAATGAAGCACTGCTTTGCAGCTCTGCCCTGCAGATTTTACACAGCTAATCTTTAGGACTGTTGTGTGAAATGAGTAGCCCACTCCAGCCCCAAAGATGGCCTAAGCCCATGGCTGAGTTCAATTCTGCCACCGTGACTGGTAAGAGCCAGCATGTGTGCCTGAAAGTGCCTTGGAGGACTTATCTTCAAGATTATGGTGGAAAAGAAACACAACAGAACTAGGTTAAAAAAAGAAAAACCAAACACAAACCCCCAAATGTTTATTACAATAAGCATAAACATGTTTAAATTGCTGTATAGCTCCCATCCATGGCAGCTACAGCCTCATCTAAACATCACAGGTGAAAAGTGCTGTAGTATGTCCCACTGTCACTGCAATGAAGTGATCACTCTTCCTTTGAAGCAATGCTGCCAGGCCTCCTGCAATGTTACTAGTTATTAGTTAATTACTTAGACTTGTGGGACTTCCTTAGAGGTGGCAGAGCTCAAAACTAATGAATTCACAAATGCCTTCCAGCTGTTTATAAATGGGTGGCAGCTGCCTTAAGGAAAAGAACTGAGCAGAGCTCAGCATGGATCTAAACTCTGTAATCTGGGTGTCTCTCTCAAGGCTGCAGCTACACCAGAAACAGATTCTAACAGCAGATTCTACAAAAACCAGCAGCCTAGGGTTTACAGCACCCAGGCCCTAGGCAGGCATTCCCTTGTCCTCTTCAGCCCCACACGGAATTGGTAATCACTTGTCCTGCTCTTCTGGGACCCACTCGTATTACAGCTGTGGTAAAACAGGTGTGGACTTCAAGGGAGCTGGGCCTTGTGGTGACGTCGCCAGCCTCAGTTATAGTCCAGTGGATGTGTACCAGATGGGAGGAGGTCATATACCAGAATGGAAATGGGAGAAAGATTACAGCAGGATGGTCGTGTTGCCACATAGCTTTTGTTATTGCCTATTTAAAACTACTGATTCCTGATCTGAGAAGTTTGAAAGTAGTGAGTCACAGGACCAGGACGGTGAGGTTAATATGAAATAACGCTCCTCATAGGTGGCTTCTAATACGTTGTTTGCACAGTATCTAATGCAAACACTAAATGAGGAAATACAGCTATGACCTTTGCCTTCTGTACTCTGAGAATTTGATAAAGCTTGTATATAACTGAACTGCACAAGTTCCTAGATACTACGTACCTTAATTGCAGGACAAGTTCAGGCTTCTCCCTGCTACCTTTAAACTCTTTGGAGTAAACCAGGTGACTGGGAAGGAGCATTAGCACTACAATGCAGTAGGCAGAGTTGAAGGACTGTTGCATGAACTGGGGTCAGTGATGCTGCAGCAGTTCTTGTGCTCGCTGCCTTAAAACACAACGCACAGCACTCACCACCATGCACACAAGCATCTACTTCCTAAATGCGTAAGAAATCAGGTTTTAAATATAATTCAGGCTGTGCATCTTACAGTTTGTTGCCAGATGTAAAAATACATACAAATAAAGCCTTAAGAAAAAGAAAGTATCCCACCACTGATTTTTTAGCCACTACATTGGCCAAAGCATTTCCTCCTTCTCTCGACTCCATCTCCAGACATTAAAAAAGAGTCACAAATAATATGAAATTGTTATTGCTCCCTTCATGCAGACAGATGGAAGGGAAGGGAGCTGGAGCTGCCCACCCAAAATGCAACATTTTGCTGCAGGACTCTATGCCCCCCTCAAATCCAGCCTTCGGCGTCACACCTTTAGGACACACTGCTCGGCCCTTGGATGGCAGCCGTCGTATTCCTCCAGGTGAGGGTTATCCAGATCGCCTCTGTCGCTGTGCTCAGTGGAGTGCGACTCACCCCACGGGGGACCAGTAGTCCTCACACACACACAGTGACTCCCCTTCGAACCAGGTCGGTACAGCTTCCGAGGGACTCCAGTCCAGTCTCTGTTCACTCCCCCACTAAGAATGGAAAATTAGAATAAATTAAAACTCAAACCCATGAAAATGCTTCCAGCAAATTGAGAATCATTAGATAAAAAACAAGACAATCTGGGAGAGTTAGAACTAACAATATGCTCACTGAGGTAGACTTTGCTCCCAACAGCCAACATCCCACAGCCTTCTGATACCTTTTTGTTGGCTGTGCTTCAGAAACCTGTGGCCTGAACCTAGTTTCATCGATGCTGCTACATGCTCCCACCCTTCTAGGAGCAACCAACTTCTGCTTTCCACGCTTCTATTGCTGGAAAAGGAATCATAGCCTTATGTAGCACACTGGGTCTAATGGCAAAGTGCCGCCTTTGGGGGTAGCTAATTGCTCACAGATAACCACACGCTGCCTTCTGTGCCACGACTGAACACAGTGATTTTGAGAACTAGGGCAAAAGAAAAAAAAAAAGGTCTCAAGTACTTCTGCAACTACTTCATATTGTCTCTTTATGGGCCAAATCCTGCCTGTTCCCTTTACTGCATGTTTTAAGCCTGTAAACTCTGACACAAGTGACTGCTGCACAACACCCAGTCCCACGGCTGCACCCAGGCTCATTCACACACAGAAGCAGATGCCCCAGGTGGTACTGGTGTATCAAAATGAAGACTAAGCATTTTGCAATGTGGTCTGTGAAATAATTCCATCTTCAAACAAAACAGTCCCTAAACTGAGAGAGGAATACAACTAAATAAGCCAAGTGGGAAATGACCTTTCAACGCTCAACCTCATTTTTATGTGGTTTTAAGTGAAAACTGTTGTGGTAGTAGCTTGTAAGACAGCATGTGAAACCATCTGAAAACCTGTCTGAATGTAGCAGACGGTCCTAGTGGGATTTCTGTCCCATTTTCCTGAGAACAGGAGGATCATGTGCACATGTGGCAAATTCTGAAACCTTATTTTGATTCCAGTGTGACAGAAGAGTTTTTGCCTCAGAAATAAAATTCCTAAAAGTATTAATGATTGGGATGAAACTTTATTTTCCTTTTACGCGCTCACCTGGTCAGTGAGCAAAGTTTCCCTCCACTACCTCATGCTGGAGAACATTTTCACTAGCCCAACCTACACCTCTGTGCCACTCCAGACTGGGTGGAGGCTATCAGGGTTGCTGGACTGGCAGAGAAAATCTAGGGACGCCGATTCACACAGCAGCAGTGGCTCAACCCGGCACAGTGGAGAAAAGCACCGCTGCTTCTTGCCAGTTGGCTCTGCCTCTGTCAGAAAGCAGAGAAAGCCCAAGGATTGCAGACAGAGGAAGGGACCAAGCCTGGCATATTCCAGCCATGCCAGCACCCAGCACGTTAGGACCAACCTACGTCCTTCTGTGGAGAAGTCAGCAGACCTCACCCACAGGCTACGCAGTGCGGGGCTGCAGGAGCCAGGACATCTTCCTACGCTAGTCCTGCTAGGAAAGGCAATGACAAAGCTCAGGGCATCCAAAAAAAGGGCAGAAATGCTCTGCTCCAAAGGGTCCAAATACAATGGTAAAAAGGCAGAGTTTACCTCTGTCTGGAGCACCAGAATCGGCTGCCCTTAGCAGAGCTCCATTCAGAGTTGCAGGGTGGAAACTGCTGCTTACTCTGCTCGCTTTCTGCTTTGAACTTCAGAGCTTCCTCGATCGCAGCCTCAGCCTGCCTTAAGGCTTCTGTCGGTGCCCCATTTTCATCATAGAATCTGCCCACCAGCCTCCCTGGGGGAGAAGATCAATTAAGACCACAATGTTTCCAGGCAAAGAAAATTAATAGTTCTGGGATTTAAAAAAATTTATTTAAAGACAAAAAAAGGAGGATCTCACCATGCCCCAACTTTAAAGCGGAACTGAGCTTACATCCCTTCCATTCTTGGATCACACAGCAATTTACCCATATTAATAAATCCACGCAGGACAAGCTTAGGCATAGGCTCATTAAAGATCAGAAAGTCAATGCCACTTTCAGCTGCAGAACCCAGAAGTCTTTCCCACCCATGCACCTCATTCCCTAAAAGAGTCTCCCTGCACTGCTGCCCCTACAGTCTCCCGAGTCCTGCTAATTTCAGTACTCACAGTGCTGGCTCCATGCCTTTTGCTCGGCAGAGATGAATAAAAGCAGGGCAGAGAGTTGCAGCTGACAGCCCAGGACAGGAAAACTGCTAAGCTTCGCCTTAGAGGAAAGCAGACCTCAAACTAGGTCTGATTTAGCAGCGGCTCCTGGTGATCACTCACAGGTTTCAGTACGCTGATCTCCACCAGCCACCCGCAGCACAGGCGGAAGGCCCTCCCCAAGGTGGACATGTTGTAGACGAAACCCGGCTCTACGCAGCGCTTGCGTCCCCTGACCTTCCATCGCCACGCCGCAGGCCTACCCTCACCCACCTGCCCTCCTCCACACAAGTTTCCCTTGCGTGTTGTCACCCCGGCCAGACCCACCTACCCACGGGATCATAGTTGTCGCTGTAGAAGGAAAGCCAGCTCTGGATGGCGAGCATCTCGCCCGGTGACAGCGCCGAGAC